GTGGCGAGTCTCGTGGCGAATGAGACAACAGCGATAGGCTTGATGAATGCACTGGCGAATAGGTATGAAAAATCCTCTGCCAATAATAAGGTATATCTCGTTAGAAGATATTTTAACATTCGTATGGATGAGAATGCTTCTGTAAATTCTGATATAAATGAAGTCACTAATTTAATCAATCAGTTAGCGTCTCTAAAGATTACATTTAGTGATGAAGTGAATGTTATTTTATTGTTGACTTCTTTGCCTGAAAGTTGGGAAACGATGAAGACGGCCATGTCAAATTCGTTAGGAGATAAGAGTTTAAAATTTATAGAAATTTGTGATGCTACAATTGCTGAAGATATTCGCAGGAAATAAAGTGGAAAAGAATTCACTTCTGGTTCTGGTTCAGGCTCAGCATTAGCAGTTCAACTAAAAGGTAAAAAAAAAAAAGGTTCAGCATGATGATAGACAATATAGAAATAGCAGGAGAAATGGGAATGGAGAAATCGATTGTTATTACTCCCACAAGAAAGACCACTATAAGAGGCACCGTACAAATTGAAAAATGATCTGAAAAAGCTGGAGGCAAATGCAAACGTAGTTGAGAGTAACACAACAACAGAAGACCAGTCATCAGAATGGGTAGTGGTGTAGCTTCAGTACACATTTCTTCAGGTAGGAGATTGTTCACATCTTTCACTATAGGCAACTATGGCATGATGGGAAATGGTAGGCTCTCCAAGACCAGAGGAATTGGAGATATTAGTCTGAAGACCGACAGTGGGACTGAGTTGGTTCTGTGAGATGTCAGGTATGTACCCAGTACCAGGTTGAATTGAATATCTGTAGGAAAGTTGGACGATGATGGTTATGGAAGTGAGTTTGGTAGAAACATGTGGAAACTCACTAGAGGATCCAGGTTGGTGGTTGTTGGCCACATAACATCTACAGTGTACATAGTGAGATTTGATGTTACCAAAGGATTAGGGAGACAGATGATGCATAAAGCTACAAATGGTTTAAATGGAGACATGATAGAATCAGTAGCATTGACAACTAAGATAGATCCATTCGTTCATGTTCAACAATTGGGAGGCAATGATAAGGAAAATAAAAAGAGTTCAGTTCGTTGTCAGGTGATAGCCCCAGTTGTCAGACAGTTGAGCGAATTGATGAAGCCGCACAGGCGAAAGGATGCATCGAAGAAGAAGATCACGGTTGGTGCTAAGGTTGAGGTTGAAGTCTCTAACTTGGTAACAAACTTGAGTGGGAGTGTCAAATCATCGAAGAAGAATTCTTTCTTTGGGAGTCATTGGGAGCAATCGAAGAAGGCGATGTTGGGAGGTACCACTTAGTTCGAGTGGGAGTACGTGGCTGAGTTTTTTTACGTCTGGGAGACAAGACCACGTAGGTTGCTGAGTCTGAGGGCAAGCACAGATGGAACTTTGGTTGTTTATCAAGAACATCGACAATGTTGTTATAGTGGGAGGCGAGATCGATGTTTTGTCTAGTGGTAGATTGTTGGGAAAAGTGGAGACAAAAGAAAACCATTAAATGTTGTTATTGGGCCAAGAAAAAAATAACCCAATAACCTTTTACTTCTCCTCTAAGTTTAGTCTTCCACCATTTTTTATATGGATTTTTTTTTTTGTTCTTTAGTCTTCTTCGCCCAAGAGATTAAAATAGAAAGAAAAAAAAAGAAGCAGTGGTGGCGACCATTTTTGCCAGTAGAGGAAGAGAGAAAATGAGATCTTGGCCTATAGAGCATCTTCGGCATTCCGTTCTAGCGATTTTTGTGAGGTTTTTCATTTCGTATCCCTAAGTAGCTATTGTTGTATTGCTTAGAAGCTAGGTGACTATTGTTGTAGCATCTAGATAGCGTTTTAGAGAAAGTGAGGCCCATTGTAATCTTCCCATTATAGTGGAACCTACACATTGCAGAAGACTGGACGTAGCTCCGAGCTTGGAGTGAACCAGTTTATTTTATGGTATTAGTTTTCTATCCCTATCTCGTATTTCCTTTATTACGTTGATAGAATTGTGACTTGCTCATAACTGTGGAAGAGGAAAAGTACTAGTTAGATCTTGTTGGATTGCTCATACTTAAGAGCTAGAGATATTTTATATTATTGCATATATATTTTTTCCCAATAGTTATTGGTGTATTTTTCACAACAATATACACTGTGGATACTTTCTTGAGTCGAGTCCGCATTGCCATACGAATCGACATCGGCCAAACCAAGAACTCCTATTTTTTCTTTAACGAAAACAACTTCCAGATCCAAACAAATCAATAGAAAGAAATAGCAAAGAAAACTTACTTAATGCAAACACAAAATATCCCTAACTTAGCGTTCATTCGCAATCACAATAATTACTGATATATAGACAGCGGCGACAGTCTACGACGACAAGCGATGACCTGCAGCAATGGGCAACAGCCAACGACGATCGAATATAACAGTGGCGACAATCTGTAATGGTGGGCTAGGAGCAACAGCCTGTGGAGACGAGTAACGAAATCGTGAGAGATATAAGATCGAGATTGAGGGATGAAATTGTTGGGATAATGGACAAAACAGGAGACCCATATCCTACAAGAAGAAGGATTTTTAACATTACTACACTTTCCTACAAGGATTATTAGGATATTTTTGTCTTATATGTTAGATCAGTATGACAACACTAGAGATGAGTGAATAGTATTGAAGATCAACTTACTAATCTTTTTCGAATTTAAGCACACAACAAATAACTATGTAAACTATTTAAGCAAAAACAATTCATGCATAATTTATAAAACCAAAATATCATAAAATAAATATGAAAGATGAGCACAATGTATATTTGCACTGAGAAATGCTTGGAAAATAAATTGCAATAAATAAAAAGTATAGGGATAGAGAAAACATCACGCAACAAATTTATAATGGTTCGGCAAACCCCCGGCCTACTCCACTCCTCAAGCACCTCTCGAGATTTTCGACTAAACACGATCCTTTTACGGGTTTAAGATCGTCAACCTGGTCCTTTTACGGGATCAAAACCAAACCTTACAAACCGCTATTTTTACGAGATTTAAAACTAAGTTCAACCTTTTTCCCGGGACAAATATCAAAACTCACACTCTATTCCTTTTACTGAGCCCAACTAAATGCGAAAATAAGAATTTTTCACACACTAAAACTCTCCAATAGAGTAGATTTACATGTTTAAGCTCACAAATACATCAATCCTCACAACAATAAAATCTCTCACAAGAATAAAAATGGTTTGAAACTAAAATCAAATTGGACAATTAGATCTTAATGATTGAAGATGAAGGGTGCAGATTGAATTAGAAAAAGGTAATGATTACATTATATTATAATATAATATATAATAATAATATATTATAAAATATTATAATATATGTGTGTGTAACGGCTATTTCGAATATTTTTTTAAGTTATCAACGGTAACTTCCTTCCTTCTTTCTTTTTTTTTAATTTCTTTTTCCTTTTTTTTTTCTTTTCATTTTCATTTTTCTTTTCTTTCCTTTTTTTTCAACAATTCAGCTTGCCATGTGTCAGTACAAGATTTGCTCACGTCATCCTCTCAGATATTTTTCTTTCAATTTGTTTCGATCGTAACTTCTTCATTTGAACTCCGATTTGAGTAACTCAAATTGCATTGGATTCGAATTTTCAAGCTCTACACTATGGACACTTTGAAACACTAAAATCATTAATAGATTAAGTTTGTTATCATCAAAATATATTGTATGATTGAAGCTTGGAAAGCCAGGATATTTGGCTCCCTATAAATAGAGCCATTTTGTCAAGGTTTTATTTTGTACAGAATCCAAATAAAAGATACTTGAGTGGTTGTGGGTAGTGTGTGAAAAGAAGTGTGTATCCCGTGGGATTAGCGAGAGTGTTTTCAATTGTGTAATCCTAGGTAGCCATTGTTAGGGTACTTAGAAGCAAGATAATCATTGTATAGTGATATCTTGACTGATACCTCTATTGTAATATTTCCAACTACAATAGAACTTGTTTTTTTTTTTTTTATAGAAGACTGGACGTAGTCCCAAGATTTGAGTGAACTAGTATAATTCCTGTGGTGTTAAGTTTTTCTATCTCTATCTTTTATTCCTTTTTTATTGTTACTTACTTATCTACTTTTATCCTGTGGAAAGAAAAATCAAATAGTTCCTGTTTGAAGAACTTACAGGAAGATTAATCGATCTATATTTTTTTCCCATCAGAAATCGTGATAGATGATGGTGATGTGAGATCTGAGATGAGAGAGTTGAGAAATGAAGAGGGGGATGAAATCTTTGAGAGGAGAAAAAATATACATACATATACATGTACATATTGTTCGGGTTGTTGGTTTTTTTAAACATCCCTAAGTGAGACTTGAGGAGCAAAAGATAAGACTAAGGTAAACGATAATTTCACTCAACTAGGAGTACGAATCATTTTGTGAATAGATGAGTGTCATGAACCCTTGGATTTATGGTAAAATTGAACATGAGTCGCCTTGAGTTAATGGTAAAACTGGTAAATTAAAGAGTTTGATTAATCAATTCTTTACCATTAGAACTCAGGTAAGTCCATAAGGTCCATGCTAGCTTGTTGACCTCTACTGCAAACACTTAGTTTGCGAAAAATTGGGTTATCTCTAATCCTAAATAGATATGAAATGACATAGTAACTTGGAGAATCATCGTACCAATAATTTGATTAAAAGTTGGTAAATTGTCTTTTGAAGGCTACATCATTTAAAACATCTCTTCAAAAGAGAGAATTTTTCAAACAACAATATTCTAATAAAAAATGAATTCAGACATTTTCCTCGTGACAGCTGAAAAATATCTATAATTCTTAATAGATTTGAGTTGCTATGTTTTTTTTTTTTTTTGGATTTATCATTGACAACAGTATCTTAATCTCAAAAAAACCTTATGTTGGATTTGAAGTATGAGTTTTGTAACTTACGTTGCTAAAACTTTATCACCAGACAGAGGAGTTAAAGAGATGATATCCATTAGAGTGACTGAAAGAAAGGTTTGTTCCTTTTAAAGATCTATTGCTCAAATCGTTAAATTGATATTACAAGGAAGGACGCCTAAGGTGTCTTAATGTTATTACAACGATTCGGGTTATACAGACCAACCACTTGACACCACTCTTATGAGTTTTCATCATCCTCTTGTGTGTCATCCGATGTCAGAAGATGGACGAGAGCAACTTTGGCCTTCTTTGGTTCTAATAAGGCTCCCTCACCAACAGCCTCGTCACTCTTCCTTTTTGACTGCTCGGCCCTCCGATCTTCCAAATGTTCTTCATTTTCAGCTTCACTCGCCTTTGCAGCGGGTGTCTCGTCTTCTCCCAACAATGTTGGCTGTGAATGAATTGTCCCAGCTTTTGCTTTATCTTTAGACGAGTTTTCGTGTTCCTTCAAGAACGAGCCAATGTCTTCATTGCTAGCCAAATCAAGAGGGGTTTGCCCTGCCTTGGTTTTAGCACTCAAACTGGCACCTTTCTTTGCCAAATACTTAACAAGCTCCAGATGGGAACCTTGTACAGCATAGTGTAGAGGGGTCATACCCTTTCGAGTGGAAGCTTTTACAGATCCACCGCACGAGATCAAAGTATGAACTACTTCTAAATGTCCCTTCTGAGATGCAAAATGTATCGCAGCCATATCGTCCATGGCGGCAGCACCAACTTCAGCCTTGTTCTTGCATAGATAATTCAAAACCTCTGCTTGTCCAGCCCATGCTGCTAAGTGCAGTCTATATTTCAAAGTTTGGTAGAGTCAAGGAAACGCAATCAAAATGCTAGGATGCTACAATCTGTGTATTGGAAATAAAATTACAAAACAAAAGTGAGAGCTAGTCAGTCAAGCCAGCAGAAATCAGGAGATTGGAACGATAAGAGCAACTTAAGAACCTGTCAAGACTCCAGCATCATATATTAAGATGAAGTTTACAGCAAAGGTAAAGAAGACTTTACAACCAGAAACTGAAATTGTAAAAGACGTTGGACGGGACGATTGATCAATGTCTATTATGATATTACTGGAATCCCAGCGAAGAACTAAAAACACTCAAAATGACACCTTTGAAAAGCTATATTAGAAATGCTCTAAATTAGCAATTCAATCATCAAAATATCCGAACCTTGCCACAAAATGAAGCAGGTAAAAAATCTCAGTAATAAAATGCACAAACCTGGCCAAAAAGCAATATGATTAAGAAGAATCAATGCTCACAAAAATACTCTCGTGTTGTTACAAAATGCTCGTAGTTAGCTACAAATCGGTAAACTAAATACAAGGTAAGAAGGATGTTTTTCAAAGAACTTCTAAGTTACACAGCACAACATCTTGTTGTGCTAAGAGAGTGGTAGATTGGTGCAAAATATCCTTCATTTATTTTGTGACTAGTCAATAAAAGGTGTCCTGAGTAGCAGTTAGGACCATTCAGAACTAATTCCAAGATTTCTGCTTGTTAGTTTGCAAGCAGGCATGTAATTCCTAGTTTTCTAATTTATAGAAAAAATGTCATGACCTGCTTTTTTTTTTAATATTTTTTTTTTTTTGGATAAACTATCAAATAGAGAATATTATTATCACCCTGGGAGAACCAGTATACTGAACTATCAGCCTGAAATTTATAAGACTCTTCTTAGTTCTTACCAAGCCCGTGGTAGGCTTGGCAAAGAAGAACTTTTAAGAATAATTTTAGAACAAAGAGGAATGAAGCAACACGATTTTTTTATATATATTTTTATATTAGTTTCTATCCTTCAAAGATAAAAATGAATGGTCCTTAATCAGCTTTACTGCACCCACAACTCCAGATTCATCAAAATTATTGATTTCAAGCAAGAAAAAGAATTACCCAAACAGAAAAAATGCAAGAGAAATGGCTCTAAAATAACAGTTCAATATCAACTTCTATATTATGAAGAATAACATTCTAAACATTTAAACCAGCTATTTCCCCAAAATTGTTGAAGAACAAACAACCTAAAAAGAGTAATTGGTGAATGATAAATAGGCATATATATTGAATTATTTTCGTAGTTAATTTACTTAGACTGGTTCGGGTGATTCAAGCTTCTTAAGCCAACCTAATCTATTCAACTTCAACTTAATTGAACTCAAAACTGATCAGAACAATCTTATAATTGAACACAACCCACCCAATTGAGTATTGCAGAAGGGATTTGCGGAACATAAATACTGCACGATGAATCAACAAATTCCTAAAAAAATTGAGGGTCGAAATAAGAATTAAGAGGAGGAAATAGAAGATGAAGGATACGGCGTTCGGGAGTGCTTATCTCTGGAGTTGACAGACGAAGGGTTGGAGGCCAAAATCGAAATGACGGAACTCAGGTCGCCGTTTCTGGCGGCGGCGTGAAGTTGATCTTCTCCGCCGGTGCCGGTGGCGCCGCTCCTTCTTGGAGACCTTCCCATTTTGATTTTTCTGCCTCTTCTCTCGGTTCGTTACACCTGAGTTCTGAGAAGGAAAAGACCCATTGGACCTTTTCCACCAAAATTGTATGGGCTTTTCGAAATGGGCCGTAGCTAGTGGGTAATATTCATGGGCTTCCTAATTTCTGCTTGAATTATAAAGGGAAAATACCGTGATAATTTTATTGCCATTGACAATTATTTTAGAATCTTCAGGTTTTATTTTAGACAAATCTACTCCTAAAACAAACAGGCATTTACCTATGCTTGCTTTTCGAAATACTAGTATATTATTAGGTAATGGCAGATTCCAAATCAAATTGAGGTGCAATACAATTAAAAAAAAAAACAATTCCTTTTCCTAATCCTAATAGGAGTAATTAAGAAAACAGGAATAAATTCCTAATTTTCATCCTCTTCTCTTCACTCAAAATTTCCTCAGAATTCTAAGAAGATTCTCTGGCAGCCCTTCTTCTCGAAAATCCTAATTTTTGGAACTGTAAATATCGTTTAAAAATGAAAGCAAAGGAGGCGATTGACGATGAGGAGGAAAGAAAGCAGGAGTGGATTGAGGCACAAGAACAATCCAACGCCCCCCCCCATGGACGAGAGATTAGAGAGATTGATAGAGCTAGTCGGCGCCGTGATTCAGGCCAAGGAGGATTTCAAGGAAAAGAAGCAGCTGATTGTTGCGTGGCAAGAGATTTTCGGGCTCGATTTGGACAGAAACGGGATCCATACCTTTTTGCAGACCCAAAGATATAAAAAAGCGAAGCGGAAGCCAAGATTGGATTACTGAAATTTACAATTAAGGAACTTGATGCAAAGCTTGAAAAAGGGAATGAGGAGTTGCGGATTCTGTGTGCTGAGAGGGACAAATTGAAGATTACTCATGATAGCCTCAGAGATTTATTGGTTAAATTTAAGAAAATCGAGAATTTGATGATGGGAGTGTCCGATAATTTGAAGGCCGCGGTTGTGGAAGCCAGGAATCAACAATTACTTTCTGAAATAGAGGAATTTAGAAAGAGGAAGAGATCTGAGTTTCAAAAACCAAAGATTGCTCATCTAAAAGCTAACAGTGAAGAAGAAGAAGAAAGACAGGATAGGATATGGTGCATCCTCAACCTCATAACGTGTTTACCAATCTCATTACTGCTACTTGCATCAACATGTTTTAAACTTTAATTATAAATTACAGTCTCTCTTTTTTCTTTTTGGTTGATTGTTCTACAAATTAATTATATAAGTGGGTTGGTAAACATTATTTTATCGAGTTATCAAATCATCTTTGGATTTAAAATAAGAGTTTGATTCAACCTATGCAATCATATCATATTTTATTATTGCTAGTTAACCACACGTGCCTGTGAAATTTCAAGAGATTTATTTAAAATTTAATTTAAAGTAAAATGTTAAAAGAATACAAATTTAAAATGATAAATGAGTTTTTTTTAGACAAAAATGATAAATGAGTTGATTTAAACCTAGTCACGTTCTTATTTCTGATAATTCGGTTGGTTTTCAAAGAATCTTTTTAAGTGATTTTTTTTTGTTATTTGTTATTGAATTTAAATCATAAGCTTTTTTGTATTTTCACTTCACAATCGGTCAAGATCAAAATGGTAGGATTTCGTGGGATTGATACATTCAAAAGCCTTTGGCCTTGAATTCAAAGAAAAAAATAAAAAATTAATATTTCCTCTCTCTCCCCTCTCCTCACCAACCTTTTTTTTCTTTCTCTCTCCTCCATCTCTCTCAGCTTTCTTGGTTTTCTCTCTCTCTATTAGCGTCAATGCGTAGGTCGCCACTCAAAACTTGGTTTGTCTTCACTCACGTATTGATATGGTTCACTCGTTTATATGTAATGTCAGGTCTTCGCATTTGCACTAAATTTCCACATAATAGTTTTAATAAGCTTCCCCCTCGAACAACTTTGTCTCTCTTGTTTTGGATCTCAATTTCTACCTTTTAATCTCCCTTGCTTGTCTATATTGAGTTGTTAATCACTTTGGCTCTCAATTCAATTCTCTTAAAGGTATCCGTACAAATTAATTTTAATTTCTTTAATTTAAAGAAACCAAACAGTCAATGAAATAACTCTTAATTATCCCTAAATTAAACCTAAGGTTTTTGAGGGGAAAGAGAGAGCATTGCAAGGCACTGAGATCACCTTTTTTAAAATTTCAATTAATCCATACAAATTCATCTTTGATTTTTTTTTTATTCAAAGAAACTAAAACAATAAGATTTATCCTTAAATTAAACACTTAATTTAAGGATTTGGAAAGAAAAGAGAGAGAAAATGATAAGAGGGTGAGAGGGAGAGGCCGAAGGCATCATGGTTAGTTTATTTTTTTTTTAATTTCAATTAATCCATATAAATTCATCTTTGATTTGTTTTTATTTAAAGAAACAAAAACAATAAATAAAATCTTAAATTATCCCTAAATTAAACCTTTAATTTAAGGATTTTGAAGGGAAGAGAGAATTGATAAGTTATGGGATGAACCATTTATCTGCTAATTAGCATCATGTAATATAATGTAAAATGACTAATTTACCTTCACACTTATATTGAAAATGGTAAAAAAAATGAAGGGCCAATATGAGAAAAAAAGTTTCACCTCATCCCACATTTTATATATACTATAGATTTTTATACTAACATAATACATACTTTCAAATAAAACTCAAAAAATAATAGCTGATTTGAATTTGATTCTTTACAATTTGTAATATGAAAAAATATACCAAAAACCTATTTGGATTTGGAGATGGAATAAATTATGAAACGAATACAATTTGGACTAAATATTATTCATCATAAGGAATTTGTAAAGGAACTTTTGCATTTCGAGTTATTTGAGAAGTAATTGAATGTGTATAAGCTAAAATTAAAGTCTAATCTAGATAAACGGCAGGAATTGAAGGAAGGGTTTTGAGCATATCATATCGCGATATTCGACTCGGAAAATAAATAAGAGCACACTATTTTACCCCTTCTCCTCCATCATCTTCAAGAACAAAAATAGTCTTCGTGGGCAAAAGATGACCAAGAAGGGTAAAAATGTTTGTATTCTGATTTGAAGTAATCTATATATATATGATGGTTAAGCTCCATTATAACAACTCTATCTCTATCTTCTTTTTTTGTGTTTAAATGTTAAATCAAGTTGGTAGTTGGTAATGTACTAATTAGTAATTTTCACAAACTTTTGAATCCCATTATACCTTTTTTGTCAAAGCGACCATAGTGGGTTGTGTGTTTTTTAATAAAAAAAAAAAAAGAGAGAAATCTCAAAATATAAGTTTTGCACAAAATTATGCAAAGCATGATCAACTATTGTACCCTGCCAAGATTCACAAATTTCAACCAAAAAATGAAAGTTAGCTTAGTGCAGTGCACCTTCTCTTTTTTTAATTTCAATTTTTTCTTTTCAAATTGACAAATCATATCAATTTCCTATCGATCAGTATTTTATATTTCATTAAATATATATGAAAACACTTATTAGAATATTGCCACACTTATTAAAGCTCAAGTTACAAGAGTGTAATTCAAGGTGATAAATTGAAAATTTAGGATAAAAAAAGATGTGCATTGCCAAGTTCAATGTAAAAATTGACATTTAGGCAAAAAGTTAAAAAAACTAACATTCGGTCAATTACAGCAGCAACAATCACAACATCTCGATTTAATCCCCCAGTATTTTTTTTAAGAAGAAAAAAAAACATCTGTACATATAATTTTTTTTTTAAGAAAATATGCAATGTACTAACATGAGATTTGTAATCCAAAAGAGAAACTACAGTAGAGATAACCACAAACAAGTCTACAAATGCAAGGTTACATTTTTGCAATTTACTCAATAGTAAATATAAAGTAATATCCATATCAAAACTCTTAATCCTTAATCAAGCGTTGGATGAATTCTCACAACTAAAATGACAAAACCAAACATCGACAACAACCATGTTCGTAAAAACTTGGGAAAGAACAACAAAAATCAACTCCTGTTGTACTGGGAGCTCCCTATTCTCTCTTTTTCCCAACTATCCTTAACGATTGGCCTTTGCAACTCTCTCAATCTCATCCTTTTTCTTGATGGCATAACTGCAAATGCAGAAAAACTCATTGACATACTGGGCGAGGATGGATGAGACATTAGTAAGACAGAGAAATTTACCTGTTCGATGAGCCCTTTGCAGCATTGATGAGTTCGTCAGCTAAACATTCTGCGATTGTTTTGATGTTTCTGAAAGCAGCCTCACGAGCACCAGTTGTAAGAAGGTATATTGCCTGATTTACACGTCGCAATGGGGAAATATCCACAGCTTGACGCCTAACAACACCAGCTGAACCAATTCTGGTTGCGTCTTCACGGGGTCCACTGCCAAATTGCAACAAGTATGTTAAATAAACCATGGTGTAACATAAATATAACATTTCATTGAAGGAACTCAGTGGATGGAACAAGTATACCTGTTAACAACAGCATCAACGATAACTTGAATTGGATTAAGATCAGTTAGTAGATGAATAATCTCCATTGCATGCTTGATAATCCTCACTGCCATTAGTTTCTTCCCATTGTTTCTACCGTGCATCATAAGTGAGTTTGTAAGTCTCTCCACAATTGGGCATTGGGCTTTCCTGAAACGCTTCACAGAGTATCGACCAGCCGTGTGTGGAACATAAGTTGCATGCTTGGCAGGTGCAACTCCAACGTAATCCACCAGAGAGATGTCATTAACCTGAATCATCACATCACACCCAAGGGACGGTCAGAAAATGTACATGGTCGCAAGTTATTGCTGAACAGGCCAAGTTCAAACCAAATGGTACAAAGCAACCACCATTCGACCACACCGTAATTAGCGATTTCAATAAGTGAGAAAGAAAAAGAAAATCTTCTCACTGTGACACTATGCGACACTTTCTGATCATAACTTAAGTAAAATAAGAAGGGTAGACGGATTCAACCCAATAATTGCTTTTTCTTCTAAATTACAAGAAACAGAACACAAACACTAAATAAAAGGGAAAACAGGAACTAATACCAAAAAAAAAAAAAAGACATATCTTATCATTGTAAATTTGCCATCATACATCGAAGGACACTACAATACAAAGGTTTGAGCTCCAAAACTCAGGTATTTCATAATTTATCACACAAACAAGTTGCAACGTTTTAGACCAAACGGTGTATGATGGGAACATTGAAATCTATAATAGCAAAGGTCCTAAATCAAAAAACCAAGCTATGGTAGGAAGAACACAAAACAAACTTCAGAGAAACGCCAAATAATTGAAACGCAGAATAGCATCCAAAGTTGAATAAAAATAATCATGGGATCCATACAAATCAGTTAAAACTAACGGTGCATTAAAAAATAAAATTGTAACCTGGACATCATCAAAGGTCCAACGATTGAAAAGCTTCACATCATGGTGAGGCTGGGTAAGTTCCTGATCCGCTTCAACCACAACTTCCATTTCTGAAATAATCACAAGTCAGGCATGACCAAAAAAAAAAACAGAGAGATAAGAGCAAGGAAATTAGCCCCGGTAATTACATTGTTGCTCTCTGAAATAGTCACAAAATAAAAGGCAGCAAGAGCCCTAATACCACTTGGAAAATCATAAAACAAATAAATTGGGGTTCTCAGTCCGATAGTCGAGCAGGCAAAATCAAGCCATGACAGCAAATCAATACAGCTATCTTTTGCCTCTAAGTGATTCTAAACAATCACAGCACATTCTTTTGGAATTAATTCAACGAAAAACTGAAACAAATAAGTACCGTGAGAGAGATGGAAGCTCAGAACGTGAGAGGCGACGGCCGACAATAGGACGTCGAACGGCGGGTGAGGCAGTGAGAGAGATGAGTGTTAGAGGCAAGAGCTTTCTGATTGGAGTAACGAAAACCTTAAATCTGAAATAGGGCTCTTGAGTCGAAACTGTTTTTCTGAATCTACGAACCGAACCGGACGGTTATTAAAATCTTAATTCAATCCAAACTGGGCACTTCCACTTATTTAAGGGAAAACCGCATGGAAGGGCTTTTTGAGGGCTTTTTGGGCTTGGTAGCCTTTTTTAAGGCATATTTGATTTCTACTCCTCTTTCAATACCAAGTTTTCTAATCTTATGGTAACATTACCGCATAATCCAAATGATTTTCTTTGTCCCTCCAACTGACTTGTTAATAATTTCAGTTCTCTCCTTTTTTTTGGTGTGCTCTCTATCTGATTCATATTTCCTCCTCGCTTAGTTTATCTCCGATTCTCTTATGTAATATTAATGTTTTCAGTTTTTTGTTCGATTTGCCGTCCTCGTTCGCTCTTCACGGTGAGTATCTTCCGGCTGATTATCGTTTTCGGGTTATTTTTGTTCCTCCTGAGTTCCTTCCCGTTTCGTATTTTTTTCGGTATTTCTTTCCTCATCGATTTCGCATGTGTTCGATTTCTCATGATTTTAAATAAATATTGTTGGTTCTAGGTCGATTGAATTGTTCTTACTTCAATTGAGTTATTTATTCTTCACTAGTTCGAGTGACTAGTATATCCAAAATTGAATCGAGAGCAATGATGGGAACGTTTAAGTTTAGTCTGCTTACCGATACATTGATGATAATAAGTTTACCGAGAGCTAGTTTGTTAACACCAAGCGATGGATATGCATCACAAAGAATGATACTGAAAGTGAGAGAAATATTTGAGAGAGAGAGATTTCAAAGAGAACGAGAGAGAGAGAGCAAGAGAAAACAATACCGAGAGTGAGAGATATTCTAGAGCCGATTTTTTTTCATTTTTTCTTATATTTATTTCTTTCTTTTTTGTAGCAGGACCATGATAATCATTTTTGCTATAATGAATTACTAGAGATACTCATTTAAAATTATGAAATACATTGGTTAAACACCTTGCACGTTACAACTTTTAACTAACATTTATAAGAAAATAAATTGCCAAGGGGAAAGTAAATACTTAACCGAAGAATTAAAATATAAAGATTGTACGAACCCAGCAAACATATGCTCAATGCCCACAGTGCTCCAACGCCTACAAACGAGCCTCCAACGCTGTGCTTATCTTGTAGTTCCCTTTTATCTTCCTTCAGGTATGGTAGCAGGCATTGAATCAAGTATGTTTATGCGAAAAACAGGATGAAGTCTGACCTAGTCAAGGTCGAACAGATGGAATAGCTAACACGCCATACGTTAGAGAATGAGCTGCACAAGATAAACGAACACTCTAATGCTTAAGTGGTCGTTGTCAAAAGTAGTATATTTGTTTAGCGTCGAAACCAACGATTACATGAGCCTCTTCTTAACAAATTCCTTTCTACTCTGTTTATGCAAGAATTTGCACAACGGTTCTTCACGATTCGAGCTCGAACCCGGTCTCCGGTTCCGACCTGAACACTAGAGTGGACCTGCACAAGAGGGTAAGCACTCCGACGCTCAAGTCAGTATAGATCGGACTCCTTATTTAGTTCGAGGTGAGATTCGATACCTGAGCGTGAAATGAACTCCTCTATTTATAGGTAATGGATCCGACAGTACACACGACCGGCGGTTATGTGTCTTTTCCTCATATCGGACCTGTCGGGTTCCGAGTAGGTCGGACCCTAGTCAGGTCGAACCTTGGTGCCCATACTTAGTCTTTTATAACGGGCGAACCCGGCCACCTCGGCGGGGCCGAGGTGGACCTAAACAATCCTTATTTGGTTTCTTCAAATACTAATAAGGGTCCTCCACGTGTCTCGGGTACATTTACCACCAAACATTGGCCCCCTCTCTGTTAGGTTCGATCTCGACCTGACAGAGAAGTTCATTCGAATTTTATTTTGGACACGTGGCGACTTTTCATTTGTAGAGGGAATATGACCGTTGCGGAAGACGTTTCGACCTGCCAGGTTGTCGGAGCACTCAAGTGTTCCGCCGTTGCGTATTTCGAGAAGATCCCAGCCGCTCGTTGATTACACGTGTACGGCGCAAAGGTTTTTCCGATCAGCTATAAATAGTCCCGAAACATCAGGTCAAACCTTACGTTTCCTGAATTTCTGGAGTTCGATCTGAAACCAGCTCGAACCCTTTCTGTAGGTCAGTCGCTTTTCCTTGCTTTTACTCTTCTTTCAAACATGATAGTTTTCTTGTCTTCCCCCTCCAGTAGTGATAGCATAGGTAGTGCGGGTCAGACCATAAGTAGTTCGCCCCCCAAACCAAGTGACTCTAGGGAGGTCTTAGCTCGTAGGTTAGAGTCCGAGCTTGAAGAAATAGAGAACTTTAGGTTCTCAGATGATGGAGAGGATAGTGATACCTCCACCTCGNGGGAGGTCTTAGCTCGTAGGTTAGAGTCCGAGCTTGAAGAAATAGAGAACTTTAGGTTCTCAGATGATGGAGAGGATAGTGATACCTCCACCTCGGGCCAGGGTCTGGAGTACCCTTCTAGGATGCCCGAGCACTATCTCGGACCCCTTCRTAGGGGGTTTAAAATTCCGAATGACATTCTCCTTAGGGTTCCGGAGGAAGGGGAAAGAGCTGACAATAGTCCAGAGGGATGGGCCACTCTTTATTTGAAGATGTTTGAGTATGGCCTCAGACTTCCCCTTCATCCCTTTGCTCAGGAGTTCTTAAACCGAACTGGACTGGCTCCTGCTCAAGTGGCCTCCAATGGGTRGCGTGTCATTTTTGCTTTAGCCATTCTTTTTTGGTTGCAAGCTCGGGATGAGGACGAGGCCGAGCTGCTAAAGTGTTGATCAGCTCCTTGGGTGTTTTGAGGCCAAGAGGATAGCCAAGAAGCCTGGTCGGTACTACATGTGCGCAAGGAAAGGCGCAGGTGGCATAGTCAAGGGGCCGACCTCCATCAAGGGATGGGTAGGAAAGTGGTTCTTTGCCTCGGGAGAGTGGCTGGCAAAGGACGAGTCTGGTCGTGCCTTTTTTGATGTTCCCACTAGGTTTGGGAACTTAGGTATGAAGTCTATCTTGTTTTCTTTCCTTTTAATTTCTTGATTTTCACTTCTAACTCAAATTTTGATTTGTTTTGTGCAGTATCGATTAAGCCGATTCCGGAGCTCACTCAAGCCTCCTTTGACGCTCTCAAGTACTACAAGGACAACTTCCCCAAAGGCAGGAAGATCAGAACCTTGGTCACCGACAAGCTTCTCTTGGAGTCGGGGCTTCTTGACTACAACCCTCTAGTTCGACCAATCGAAGCTTCAAGGCCGAACTCTGAACTCGGTAAGTCGTGCTCGACCTAGGTTTCAATTTTATCTTTCCTTTGATCTCTAACTTTATGCTTGTTTATTTTGCAGCAATGGTGTGCGGATTCACTGGAAGTGTGAAGCTCAAGTCCAAGGGTCGTGCTCACACCCTCAAGACCGTGGTGAGGACTGAACCGGTGACGTCTACGGTGCCACGGACTGAGGCTCAGGGTAACTCTGGGCCTTCTTCTGCAGTCCCCACCCCTGTGATCGAACTAGACTTATCTGGGGGTCGATCTGAAGAGAAGCGTCTGAGGGAAGAGTCCGAGGCGCTTGACGTATCTCCCCTGAACCAGGTGAGGGGAGAGTCGCCTTTGAAGAGAAGAAGAAAGAAGAAGAAGGCCTCCTCTTCCTCGGAAGCTGAGGCTTGTGGGACTCTGCCTACGAGCCATGCTGATTTGGTGGATGACCTCGAAGCTCGGATGGGKGGGACATTCGATGTACGAATGCGGTTCAGGATGGAACCGTCAAGTTCCGGGGTGAAGGACCAGGTGTTCTGCATCTCGGCCTCGTGCTTGAACCGCTGCCTGAGGAGAGCATCCAAGTTCGTGAGNATGGAACCGTCAAGTTCCGGGGTGAAGGACCAGGTGTTCTGCATCTCGGCCTCGTGCTTGAACCGCTGCCTGAGGAGAGCATCCAAGTTCGTGAGCTCTGAAGAAGGAGGGTGAGAAGCACAAGGCCCACCTCCGAGCAGCCCATGCGATTACCAAGGGGCTGGAGAAGGAGAAATTCCAACTCTTGAAGGAGAAGGACGATCTCGCTCAAGTCCTTGAGGAGAAGGATGCCTCAATAGGGCGCCTCACAGCCGAGCTTAAAGACCTGAAGGAGCGCCTAACCAATGGATCTCTGCTGGAGGAGTCGTTCAGGCAACACCCAGACTTCGATGGGTTTGCCAAGGACTTCAGCGACGCCGGCTTCAAGTTCCTGATGAAGGGCATTGCTGCCGACATGCCCCACCTTCATATCGATCTCAGCGATCTCAAGAAGAAATATTCTGAGAAGTGGGCTTCTGGGCCTAATGGGATTCCTGGCCCCTAATCGCTGGTGGACAAGTACGTCAAGGAGCTGGACTCTGACTACTCCGATGTAGAGGAAGAGGATGCTCCTAGCCAAGAGCCCAATGAGATCGGCATGACGTAAGAGGAGGTTCCTTCCCAGCAGGATGGATCTCAGGAGGTTAACCTTCTGGGGTCCCAGGGCGAGCTATCCTCCTACCTCGGAAGTAGCTGAGGCTCTATTTTCTTCTCCCTTTTGTTGTTTCCTTTTTGTAAGTCTTTGGGCGGAGCTGCAAGGTGTACAAGCCTTGGCTCTGTCCTCCAATTAATAAATTCTTCTTTCCCTACATTTAATTGCAGTTCTGATTCCAGCTCTGACTCTTTCTTCTATTACTTTTTCCTCAAACTTTTTAAACTTATAATCTCCATCTCGCGCCTCTTAACTTGTAACTTTTTTAAGTTCAAAGGCTTTTGAGATAACTCTTTTCACATCGCACCTCTTTCCTAAGGTTTGAATTTGAGAGTCTTTTATTAATCTTTAATATTTCTCCTCGAACTCGGAAGTCCAAAAGATAATATCAAGCAATTTGAACTTTTTTACATCGCACCTTTAACTTGA